TTTGCCGATTAATAGAGAAAACAAAAATGCATATTTTGTCGGTTTGTCCAATAAATTTATCTAAATATATGCATTAATTATTAATATATACGTCTATATGTGTGTATGTATAAGTTGGGAAAAAAGACAGAACCCATCCACTACCATCATCTCTTTCTCCCCCACTGTGTCCATTCACTCTTGACCACAGGTCATCCTCCACCAACCACTCTTCCCCTTCTCTCTTCAAAGCTTATAGAGCTAATGACATTGGTGTAGTATCAATGACAATGGCTTGTGGTGATGGGCATGTTGTGGCCGCCAAATGACGCTAGGCATGCTGGTAGTTGCTTGGTGTTGGTCATAGTTATAAGACATATTCATGTGTTTTCTATTTGGTTTTATGTTAATTTTCATTTAGGATTTGGAGTTTGATCATCAAGTTAGATTAAACCTAGTGAATTGGTACTCTCTTTCTCTCTTAATTTTAATTTTGTTAAGGATGTAAACTACATTTTGAAATATAAAATGGTGGCGGCGAGTGGGCTNATGTTAATTTTCATTTAGGATTTGGAGTTTGATCATCAAGTTAGATTAAACCTAGTGAAGTGGTACTCTCTTTCTCTCTTAATTTTAATTTTGTTAAGGATGTAAACTACATTTTGAAATATAAAATGGTGGCGGCGAGTGGGTTGGTGATGGTGGTTTGTGTGAAAGATGGTGGTGACATTGCTCTGCTTTGTCCTGAAGAAGAAGAAGAAGAAAAAGGGAAGGAGGAGGAGGAAAATTTACATGTAGAAGAAACAAAATGATATTATAGGCATTTAAGAAAAATGGAATGACGTCAGCCTTTTTTTTAAGGTTGGATTTTCTGCCACATCTGGTAAGGGCGGGGATAAAAGNGGTGGTGACATTGCTCTGCTTTGTCCTGAAGAAGAAGAAGAAGAAAAAGGGAAGGACGAGGAGGAAAATTTACATGCAGAAGAAACAAAATGATATTATAGACATTTAAGAAAAATGGAATGACGTCAGCCTTTTTTTTAAGGTTGGATTATCTGCCACATCTGGTAAGGGCGGGGATAAACGTGACATGCAAACTAGAATTGAGTACAATTAATTTTTAAAACTCTTTTTTTAATAATGATAAGGTAAGCTTCACAGCTCAAACTTATACAAGGGGTTTTAAAACCCTTTGTATAGGTTGGATAGTTGTATACGAGATCCTTGTAGTAGGTTGGATCAACCTCCAATGGAGTGAAGACAATCTTTAGAAGCAACATGTTAGCATTATTGACCCCCTGATAAACCACTAAAACCTTCTTTGTTGGGACTCTGTGCAGTNGGATCAACCTCCAATGGAGTGAAGACAATCTTTAGAAGCAACATGTTAGCATTATTAACCCCCTGATAAACCACTAAAACCTTCTTTGTTGGGACTCTGTGCAGTGGGAAAGCCCTTTATGAAACCGACCACTAGTTACAAAGCTCTAATAAGGAATAGAGAGGGCTATCTCAATTAGGTGCAAATCAGTTACCCTTATTTGTAAAATACTCCTCTTCCTAGTTAGGGAGTTAAGGAAAAAAATGACTTGATGAACCATTCCGTTCGCCACGCACTAACCTCATCCATTTCCTTATTGATTGATGCTGTAAGTACAATGCCACATAACTATGAAGAGTATAGTGGGATCGAAAGACAAGAGCTCATTCCCTTTCTTTGAAGTTTGCCACTTTTTTTGGACACAGCCTCAGATAACCTTAACCATGTATAAATAGAAATATTCTTCGATGGTGTCATTTTGAAATGTTAGCTTCAACCAGTATTTCACCTCCTATAGAGCAAAGTAGCCTTAATGAGCATAGGAGAAGAATGAGAGCAAGAAAACTAGTAACTTACAGTCACTGTGAAGCTTCAACACTTAGTGAAGAGTTAGCAAAGCTAGATTCTCATAGCGAGGCTCTTCGAATTTGTGAGGTGCTGTAGTAAGGCTGAAGCCCTATTATACTACTGAGCCAAGGATGTAATGCTTTATTAATAGAAGCAATCAATTGAGTTTTGAATGAATTAGCTTCATGGTAATGACTCAATCTATAGAGATAGAAAACCCTATGATGGAAACCTATCAAGTTAGATTTAGAGAAATATGGAACCAGTTATATAATAGGCGGATCAGTTGTCAGTGATTTCTTTCAATAGCATTAATTACACGAACATCAATCTACTGTATTTTTAATGTGATTGATGATGCACAAATTAGTTTGTATACCACATNGCTTTATTAATAGAAGCAATCAATTGAGTTTTGAATGAATTAGCTTCATGGTAATGGCTCAATCTATAGAGATAGAAAACCCTATGATGGAAACCTATCAAGTTAGATTTAGAGAAATATGGGACCAGTTATATAATAGGCGGATCAGTTGTCAGTGATTTCTTTCAATAACATTAATTACACGAACATCAATCTACTGTATTTTTAATGTGATTGATGATGCACAAATTAGTTTGTATACCACCTGTCAAGTATGCAGTATAAAATATAGGAAAATAAGTAGAGGGAGAGAGAAGACAAAGTTTATAGTGGTTCGGTCAACATAACCTACGTCTACTTTGAATGACAAGAGTTGCCAGTATTTTATTATCTCTGGTGTGGAAGGAGAGAAGAATGTTACAAGTTTTGAGAGAAGAGGNCAAATTAGTTTGTATACCACCTGTCAAGTATGCAGTATAAAATATAGGAAAATAAGTAGAGGGAGAGAGAAGACAAAGTTTATAGTGGTTCGGTCAACATAACCTACGTCTACTTTGAATGACAAGAGTCGCCAGTATTTTATTATCTCTGGTGTGGAAGGAGAGAAGAATGTTACAAGTTTTGAGAGAAGATGAGAGAATTATCTCGAATGAGTCTGATACCCCCCAAGTGTTTGTGGAACTTACAGTTTATAGTGGCTTAGTGTAGTAATTGAACAACAAGTCTGACAGTCATAATGGGTTGAGACCTTTTAATAGTCATAACGGATTGGAGTGACGTTAACAGTGATTAAATAGTTTGGCGACCTCTCATTCTACTCAACGGACAAGGAAGTTATGATGCTCTTCAAAAAGACTTGGTCAAAGGATGAGGGAAGGTTGACTCTCTCCAAACGGCGAGGGTGAGGCTCCTGGATGCTCCTNTTAGTTAAAAAACTTGTGTGTGTTATTAGTTAAAAACCTTGCACATATTTGAATCACAATTTAACTCGTTCATTGGGGAGACATGTTGAAAAANTTCTACTCAACGGACAAGGAAGTTATGAAGCTCTTAAAAAAGACTTGGTCAAAGGATGAGGGAAGGTTGACTCTCTCCAAACGGCGAGGGTGAGGCTCCTGGATGCTCTTTGGTGGCATAGAGGAGACTCTTTGATGACTCTTACTCCAAGGTGGTAGAGGAGACTCTTGGATGACCCTTACTCCAAGTGGTAGGGGAGATTCTTTGATGACATTGCATTCTCCCTGATGATGTTGCTCCTTGATTCTTGATGAGCTTGTCCTGGTTGACCGCATTGAGTTAGACTTATTGGATCTTTTGGAGATGGGCTATAAATTCGGACCGGACTTATAATTTGAGCTAAGCCCTTAGGCTTGGCCCATCAGTGATGATCCAATCCATATCGCTTAGTAAATTGGGGGTTTGGAGTACACAATAGTGATTTTTGAACCTTCATTTTATACAACATTTTTTAAAGCACTATAGCCTAGTGCAAAGCTAACAAAATTGTACAATAATGTGAGTTGAGGGTGTTACAATTAGTATTAGATTTATTTTACCCTCATGGGGTGGAGGCCACTGAAAGTTGTGCATCCCTCCATGCACCTCCATCCAATGGACAGTAGCTTGGTATGGTGACAACTAGCATGGTGGAATTAATCTCCCAGAAACTCATGTCACTTTGGTCGGGATGGGGCCCAAACAAGGACGGTTGGGCTCAAATGGGTAGATTGTAGAGTGTCAATCACACAATGCTAGGTGAAAATTGGGTGTAGCGTGGTACATAAGGGTAAGTCTTAAAGTTTTATTATACAAACTGTTTTAAAGCGTGCATTTAGTCCAATGTAAATAATATTATACAATGTAGATTTGGAGCATTACAAGTAGTTTTTAGTGGCTTTAAGCTGAGAAATCTGGTGAACTACGTATGTGCCATNGCATTTAGTCCAATGTAAATAATATTATACAATGTAGATTTGGAGCATTACAAGTAATTTTTAGTGGCTTTAAGCTGAGAAATCTGGTGAACTACGTATGTGCCATGTGTTGCTTATCTGATGGCATGATGGGGGGTAATTTGAGATTTCCTTAAAAATAAGGTAAGTCGGGTAATGGTAATTTTTCCTTCCAACAAATAGGCCAGATGATCATCCCCAGTTTATGCCCATTCATATCCCGTTTTAAGCATTGGGCTACTGCTAGTCTTCCTAGGCATTACAGTGATATGAAGATTTTAAAGCTATACAATTGAAGATTTCCTTTGAACTTAAAAGGAAACATCCAAAATTGAAATTGCTCGCTTGGCCTATACCCTCATTTTGATCAACTTCAAAATGCATTAAGTATGCGTTTTAAGAGAGTAAACAAAGAACAATTTCAAAGGAAATCAGAAGCAAACTTCCATAATATTTTCTTCATAATGAACACAAAGTGTCACTAAAAACAAGTTAAACTTCTATCAATAGAGATGGCACTCTTTCTGCATTTAACAGTGGAATGAGAAAGAACTGGAAGTCCCCATTGACAAGAGAAGATAATTGTGGGGTATACAGCTTCCATCTTCATTCTGCTGACTATCTCAGCACAGATCCTGGTAATCCTTCTGGGCAATATAACCACAGAAAATGCCTTCCAATTCAACTTTCTAGACCTTGACACCCTAAAACCCTTGANGCTTCCATCTTCATTCTGCTGACTATCTCAGCACAGATCCTGGTAATCCTTCTGGGAAATATAACCACAGAAAATGCCTTCCAATTCAACTTTCTAGACCTTGACACCCTAAAACCCTTGAATCTTCCATTCATTTTCTTAACCCAAAGCTTTCTAGGCCTTGCCACCTTCTCATCAGCATTGTTTAGCCTCTTGTAACGAGTGCCCAAGTGTTCTTCAACCAAATCTTGGAAACCCATCTGCAACATTGAGGTTTATGTTGATGGGGAGAGAAAGAGAGAGAGATGAGTGGGCTTGAAGGAATATGCANACCCTAAAACCCTTGAATCTTCCATTCATTTTCTTAACCCAAAGCTTTCTAGGCCTTGCCACCTTCTCATCAGCATTGTTTAGCCTCTTGTAACGAGTGCCCAAGTGTTCTTCAACCAAATCTTGGAAACCCATCTGCAACATTGAGGTTTATGTTGATGGGGAGAGAGAGAGAGAGATGAGTGGGCTTGAAGGAATATGCAAAGTGTAGCTGAAATGTTTACAGAGAGAACCTAGTTATATATAGAGGGAGAAAAGGAGAGGTTAAAATGAGAGAATGTGCAGTAAGCACATGGAGAATCTGCTTCCTAGACCACTTCAAACAAATACTAGTAAGAGAAAGGGCTGAAGATTTTCTGCGTTGGGATTCCTCTAACACATGGCTGGCATCATATTCTAAGCCAGTGCATTGTATTGTAAGAGAAAAAATGTACATGTACTTGGTTGGCTAGAGAGAGAGAGAGAGAGAGAGAGAGAGAGAGATGCCCTTCTATTCCTTTAACCGACACACAGAGAGATGCCCCTCTATTCCTTTAACACACACACACACACACACACACAGAGTTGNGCTGAAGATTTTCTGCGTTGGGATTCCTCTAACACATGGCTGGCATCATATTCTAACCCAGTGCATTGTATTGTAAGAGAAAAAATGTACATGTACTTGGTTGGCTAGAGAGAGAGAGAGAGAGAGAGAGATGCCCTTCTATTCCTTTAACTGACACACAGAGAGATGCCCCTCTATTCCTTTAACACACACACACATACACACACACACAGAGTCGATCCTGTATTCCTTCAACACATGGCTATGTTGGTGTGTGTAACCAACTTACCAACTCAGAAGTAGAATACTCTCTTCCTTTTCTCTCAATGTTTGTTCTTTTGTGATAATGTGATTAGAAGATGATGCAGAGAATATTGAAGACATGTGCAATGACTGAGGTACATGTTAGGGTTGAAAAACAAAGGGCAATGATTCGTTGCGGATTATATTAAGACACAGATCTACTTGTTTCTAATTATTTGACAGAGATTAGTTTGCAATCATTAGTTTACTTTTTTACAAGGTTTAGTCAAGCCTAGGTATCATTTGGTCTAAATTGTCCGCTTTTGGAAAGAAAACAGGTGCCAAGTATAATTTAAGTAAGCGATCCTTTCTGGGTCAAGACTTAGCTAATTCAGAGTTCCTGCTTATTTGTTGACTAATGTTGGAAAACCCATATGATCCGAATGGGCTCCACAGAGTTTATCGACAATATGTGTTTGATATGAAATTTATTCAGCTGTCCTAACGTTTATTCATGGGCAAATTAAGGATTACCTCCTTGTGGTTAGACTCAGTTACATGTTACTTCCTTGTACTTTTAAAACCTACACACATAACCCTTTATAGTTTTGGGTGTTAACAGAAAATAAAAAATGACTATTCTCCCCTCTACATCCATAATGATCCCAAACATCAATCCAACATCTGTTTGTGTCATATATATACGTGTCCGATGTCAAACACAGAGTGAGAGAGAATGGGACCAATCCTCCCTGAATGATATGACCCATGGAGGACAGATCCAAGATGAGTGTCTGGGATTGATCAACATGGTGCAATGGATTTTTTTTTTTTAATTGCTCTGGGTTTGTTTTTTTGTTTCCCTATGGTGACAATGGCTGAGATAAAGGTGGTGGTGGTGTTGGAGATGAGGACTTCAGAAACCATTCTGTGGTGGCAATGGTAGTATTCCAATTTAAAATCTAAGATATCTTCTGTGCTGCTACCTATTGGGCCACCTTTGTTGATTGTATTGTAGGGCTAAGGGAAATATTATGAATTCTAAATTTGGAATCTCAATTAAATGTGGACTCTTGGTCGAGTGGATTTTATTGAAAAAAGTTCACGGGACTCACTTATTTAAGGGTCCAGAGAAAGTACATGATACACCTTGGCTGAGCATTGTTTTTTTGAGCACACCTTGGCTGAGCATTGTTGGGTTGATGTGTTCCACATTAAACAGCTTTACAAGGGCCTGTATTCAAGAATTAATGCACTCTTGTCAGACCAGTTCAACAACTATGGCATCCTTCTCAATTACCAAATTTCTTGTGTTACAAGTTTGTTGCAAGCCACCTCTTAGACATAAGGAGGTAACATGTAACTAGACCAAATCATAATGGGGTTTTCCATAATTTACCATTTATTTATTTATGGATTAATAGCGTTTTTTCCTCTAAAATATGCGTGTTTTGTCAATTTAATCCTCCATGCAAGAATTTTATCAATTTAATTCCTAAAGAATTTAATTCATGTTTAAATGATCCCTAATTGAACGGTTCATTAAGTTATTTGATGTCATTTGTCATTCTTTCAAAGAGTATCACTTGACTATCACATGATTACTTTCATAAAAAATTTAAAAGTCTATAAGGGTCATTTAAACACGAATTGATATTTTAAAAACTAAATTTATAACATTAATATAATAAAAACCAAACTGGCAAAACATACATACTTTAGGGACTAAAAATGTTTCTAACCCTTTATTTATTCATGACCTTTTGAACCCGAATTGTTCAACAATTAATGGATCGACTTGATACATTGTAAAATACATTAAAGATTCAAAAATCAAGTTTATCAAGAACTACCATACTGCTCTTAGCTGGAATTTAAGGCTGTTGCTAAGTTAGCTTAGTATAAATACTTATAGGAGCAAAATGATCAATCTTCAAAATAACCAAGTAAATCAAAGAGGTACTGATGTTAAGAATGGAACAACCCAAGTGATTTGCATTTTGCAGAGCTAACTGAAAGGTAAAAGATACCAGGAAAATTGGTTCAATTTTTCTGTAAGTTCCAAATATTTGTTTACCTATCCTATGAGCTAATTTGGTTATGTTCAGTTTCCCCTCATTGTGTCTACAATACAAGGTTTTTCTTGAGATAGTTTTGGTCATGTTACACTTGGAGAGTTTCCAATGAACATGTCGGAATCTGCCAAATTTCATGGTGTTATACCATCTATTGTGTTGTACATCGACTTGAGTGTTTTCAATTACATACAAACGAGATTTTTGTTCAAGAATAGAAGCATTATGTTATACCCTCTTAAACATTTTAAGCTTTTAGATGAGTTAATATTTTAAACTTGTATCAGGAGGTCACACTTTTGAATTTTTTCATCATTCTATTAGTTAAAAAACTTGTGTGTGTTATTAGTTAAAAACCTTGCACATATTTGAATCACAATTTAACTCGTTCATTGGGGAGACATGTTGAAAAATATAATTACTTATGATATACTCTCGCTCTCTATAACAGTTTAATTTAGATAAGTTAGTTGTTTAAGAACCTGGAGCCTTACTTTCATAGTCTCAACATTTCTTGAGCAAGGTTTTCTTAAACCTTTTTTATTACCTAATCATTGTTTAGCAAAGAAGGGAAGGGACCACAAGAAGTGGGTCGAAGCCGGCTCCCGCAACAAAGAAAATAAGGTAGAAGACAAGAAACAACTTGCATTATGGTTCTCTTACCTACTTATTAAAAACTAGAGGGGTCTAAATGCTAGGCACATGGACTTGGTTTGAGAGAGGGGGGTGGAAGAGAGCAGGTAACTAAAAAATTTAGAAAGTGTGGCAATAAACTATTCCAAGTAAACTAAATAGTTTAATATTTGTTTCAATTATTTTAATTATTCACATTTACTTTATGAATGAAAAAAAGAGGGAAACCCATAAGTACTACACGAGCTCGTAAGTCAAGTACAAAACGAGTCTTGATATCTTCATGAGATGATCTATATTTCTTACAAAGTAAAATTGCTAGTTTTTTGTTGCTTTTAAAGAATCTGACAATTATAGTTAAGTTGTTAGATAATATATATTCTTTTACAAACGTATGTTGACCACATTCGTATATTATTTTTTTAAGTTTTATATCATATTATATCATCTTCGTATCTCATATTTGTATCCGTGTTTTCTCAGTTACAAACAAGATGCAAAAGTTATCTTGAAAAAAAGAGTTGGATTGTATCGTGTTAATTGTGTTTTAAGTTTTGAGTATGGCTAGTGCTGTAATATTATGTCATGTATTTCCATATTCAATATCGACCTGAGCTGTTTCAACTTAATAAATTAATGCTACTTAGATATAATTTATTGATCTAATTATTCATAATTAATGGATTGACAGTGGATCCTAATTCTTATTGAGACCCACATAATCAATTAAATAGTTATAACAGATTTGATCAGTAAATTAGGTCTACATAACATTAGCATGATATACGAGTGTCTGAGTCATAATTTCCAAATTTAAAAACCCAAAAAATTAATTAAAAATTATTTTATGTTACGAAGTGAATTGCTTAATGGAGTGAGGACAACAAAGCCAATTGTATGGCTCATGCTGATCAATAGATAGGGGTTGCTGGCAACGGTACATATGACTCATAAATCTTTAAACAATTGGAGGGATACATGGGCAGTGCATGTGGACAAATAAAACTGAGGGAATATGGTACCCTGCTAGGCCTAGGTAGCTAGCTACTTCCAATATCGAGTGTTTCTATGGAATTTTCGAACAAAAAACTATGAATTGCAATCAAGTCTGTACATGAATCATTGGTGTTTTTGGCAATATTTAGAGACGGATTGCCGTGTATAAAAGTCAATAATGTTATCTCGACTTTATTTGTTGATTATTTACTGTAATAAGTTTAAAAAATTCTTTTAGAAAACCTGTTTTTTTTTCCATGAAAGAATGCAAAACCAAACTCAAAACGCATATTTATAACGGCTCACAATTTTTGACTCAGGTTTAATCACATGCATATCTTTTTTTCCCCTCGTCTAGTAGTATACATATGTACATTTATAAGTATATCATTTATAAATTGAGATTCATATATATATATATATATATATATATATATATATATATATATCAGTTTTATTGTATAATTATCAAATAATTAAATATTACTTTTACGAGTGATCAATTTTTCATTTAAAAAAATTTACCTTAAAAAAGGGTTATTGGATTGGTGGCCGTAAAAGTCAGAGCACAAAATTTATAAGGGAACGACTACGACTTTGATATCAATATCATACAAAAAATTATAATTTTTAATTTCAAATTGTACATT